TTTTTCAACATTCACATACATGTATTGACATTCCAGAGCAATATAATAAGTCAAACTTTAATCCCTAATTATTCAATTTCTATGATTTGAGTTTTGTTCACACCGATAAATAATCTGTTTGTTAGAGTTAATGGATTTATTTCTACAGCCGATGGTTCTAATTTCAACCAAAAAATAATTTGCAAATTTAGTTTTTCATATTTATTTGATCGTATAATGTCCCTTATGTTATAATTAACATTGTGTTAAAATTTGGATTTAATTGATTGACTCAATGGAAAATTAATTTTTAATCAATGGCTTTCCTCACATTTTTACTCCATTTGGTTTCCTCACAATTTAAATCAATAGTTTTTCTGTCAAATTAAGCTTACAACCAACAAGACTTAAAGCCCTCTCTCACACAGACACAAACACCTTTATTCACTTCACAAACAACACAAAACGTTGATGACACGAAACTGCTATATATCAATACATTACAAATTTGATACAGGTCCATGGCAAGGAAGGGGGGGGGGGTCGTTGGGTTCGAGTAAATCACCCTCCCCCTTGCCAAAATCCTATTATCAATTGTGAACCCTTGGTATGTTTTGAAAATTGATCCCCTTGGCTAAAACTTATTACAAGCCTGTAATATATTGTATGTTTTGCTCCGATTTTTCTGACAAATCACTGATAACTAGACATGTAAATTGAACAAGTTCAATTTAAGACTCCAGATTTCACATTTTTTTTAAGCTGAGTCATCCAGAACTTGTAAGCTGAGTCATTCAGAATAAGCTGAGTCAGCTAGAATATAGACATTTAGACAACTTTTAAGAAGGCTATCTTCGACTCTATTAGCTTAACATGGGGATATCATCATATCGACTTTTCGAGACTTCAAACCGCTATAACTATCTAACCAGAAGTCAGATCGAAATTTGGTTTAAAGATTCTGATTCCTGAGAAAATTCTACCCTTAATTCATAACTCATACGTTAAATTTGGAGAATTTTTTATTTTGACCTACATTTCGGACACCATATCTCAAAAGTGGGTCAAAAAACTTTCTGACGGCAGAAGGCTAACACTATAAGCACACTCTTTGCTACCTGTATACACAATTTTGAAGCAAATCCTTAAAGTGTAATGTCAGAATCGCAAAAATAAGGAAAACTATGAATTTGACCTAGATTTTGACCAAGGCATTTTTGCGTCCAAATTTTAAAGCTAGATAGTCTTCGAGGTCCCCTCCTTTTATAGGCTTTCAGAATATTAAGCTGTACTCAGTCTATATCTGGTATTTTACACTTCAAAAAATCCTTTTTCTCATTGACATAACATGGGGCACCAAATTTAGCGATTTTTGAGCTTTCAAAACGCCATAACTTTCGAACCGGAAGTCGGATCGAAATTTGGTTTGCAGATTCGGATACCTGACAAAATTCTATCCCTAATTCATAACTCATACGTTAAATTTGGAAATTTTTTATTTTGACCTACTTTTTGGACACGCCATGACTTCCGAACCGGAAGTCGGATCGAAATTTGGTTTGCAGATTCGGATTCCTGAGAAAATTCTACCCTTAATTCATAACTCATACGTTGGATCTGGAGAACTTTTTATTTTGACCTACTTTTCGGACACCATATCTCAAAAGTGGGTCAAAATACTTTCTGACGGCAAAAGGCTAACACTATTAGCACACTCTTTGCTACCTGTATACAAAATTTGGAAGTAAGTTATTCAAGTGTAGTGTCAGAATCGTAAAAATAAGGAAACACTATGAATTTGACCTAGATTTTGACCTAGGCATTTTGGTGTCCAAATTTTGAAACTATGTAGCTTTTGAGGTCCCCTTCTTTTATAAGCATTCATTATGTTAAGCTGTACTCAGTCTATATCCTGTATTTTACACTTCGAAAAAGTCTTTTTTCCCATTGACTTAACATAGGCACCAAATTTAGCGATTTTTGAGCTTTCAAAACGCCATAACTTCCGAACCGGAAGTCGGATCGAAATTTGGTTTGCAGATTCGGATTCCTGAGATCATTCTACACTTATTTCATAACTCTCATGTTGAATTTGGAGAATTTTTTGTTCTGACCTACTTTTCGGACGCAATATCTCAAAATCGGTAAGAGTAATCAAAAAATGATTTGCCTTACGGAATTAGCGTTTTTTCCAAGGAACATGATGAAAAAAAACCGGAGCAAAAATATTGAAAGACGACTGAGAAAAGTGGTGAATTAGTGAAAATCAACGATTTGACCTAGTTCTTGACCTATGACCTAGATAGAAATTTGACCTAATTTCCCAGAAAGCCGGATACAGTCCTTAGTTAACCATGTAAGTTGGATTAAGTAAGCTGTTATAGTTGACGAGAAATTTGGTGAGGAGGAATAATAATAATAATAATAAAGAAAACTGGCAAAAGCAATAGACTCCAGATTTTCAATCTGGAGTCTAATAAATAAGGAAACGTCCATTAGGTTAACCGATACAAGTGGTGTTAATCCATGCTAAAACAAAATAAGAACTTGTATTTTCTCACATTTCACAATTCGTGTGTTTTCTGTTATCCATATAATATCTGAGATATAAACCGGGGATATCCCGGGAGGGGGGATATAAACATCAGATTAGTACATGATGTTATACATTTGTTTCTACTACAATTGGATCATTTCTTTTTATTACAACTTTCTTTGTTTTCCATTTCAAAATATATATATTCAAAAGGTACGAGATTCGGTATGTTTAGTTGTTTGATAATGAAAATAAAGAAGTGGGCACAGTTTAATGTTTCATCTGAAAAAGCAATGATTACGCTTTGAGCAAATTGGTGCATGATAGAACAAACTGATGTAAATAACATATTGACATACAGCATGTCAGAGCAATATGATAAGTAAAATGTTAATCCCTAATTATTTAATTTCTTTAATATGAGCTTCATTAACACTGACAACTAATCCGTTTGTTGGAGGCAATGGATTAATTTCCTACAGCCAACAGTTCTGAGTTCAACAAAAAAATATTTGAAAATTAAGTTTTTCATATTTATTTGATTGTATAATGCCCCTTATGATATGATTAACATTGTGTTAAAATTTGGATTTAATTGATTGACTCAACGGAAAGTTAAGTTTTAATCAATGGGTTTCCACTCCATTGTTTCTCTGCCACATTAAGTTTACAACAAACAACATTTAAGGCCCCCTCTTACACAGAGTGAGACACAAACAACCACCTGTATTCACTTTGCCAACCACAAAAATAGTCTTGACACAGAACTGCTCAATTTTTCAGTTAAATACAAGTACATTACACATTTTATACAGGCCCGTACCTATCGAGTAACGATCCCCTCCCCTTGGCCAACAATTCTTTCAAAATCATGCAGATTTTCACCATTCACATACATGTATTGATGTCACAGCAATATAAGTAATACCTTAATCCCTAAGTTTTCTCAATTTCTATGAAATGAGTTTTGTTCACTGATAACTAATCCGTTTGTTAGAGTTAATGGATTAATATCTAGAACTGATTCTTCTAATTTCCATAAAAAATAATAATTTGCAAATTAAGTTTTTCATATTTATTTGATGGTATAGTGTCCCTCTTTCTATGATTAACATTGTGTTAAAATTTGGATTGACTTGATTAACTCATCGGAAAGTTAATTTTTTGATTTTTAATTGATGACTTTTCTTCACATGTTTACTCCATTGTTAACATTAATTTTAATCAAATTAAAATATTAATTTCTTCTAAATATTTATTTTGTAAATATGATTCAAATAGAAATAGAACAATCAAAATAAAATGTATGTGTGACATTTGTAAGTAATGGAGATGAGAAGGCCAGTAGAACGGTTAATCCTATTAACTGCCATGCTGTGCATTCTTTGTTTTGTTTGGTTAAGTAATTAACCAGATGGATTGTGCATCAAGTTGGGCGAGAATAATCGCGTATAATATTTTTTAGAACCCAAATAATACAATATAATTTGATATATTCTGTTCAGATTGGAAAATACAAGAAAATAATATTTTTTAGAATAGAAAAAAATTCTAAATAAACTGCAATCATCATATTTGGATCTCGCTTATTTCTAATTATATTATATTAATCTCTATATAATCGAGTATATTTTGCTGATTATATTTTTTTCCTTCATAATATAATATAATAATTACAATACTGAATGGAAATACTGTATTATTACGCATCTTTTTACACAAATATCCGAAAATAAAACCTCTTTTTATATATTATTTTATTGATTTCACCAAGTGTATTTTATATAACTGTTTTTGTTAACATCTTTGTTTTTTAGTGAAATTGTTTTTGCTCCTTTCTACCAATTCTTGAGAATGAAATAAAATGTTTTTCCGAACCTTGCTGGAACAAAATAGCATATACAACATGTTTTAAGACCTCTCAACATTATTGTTATACAAAGTAATTTTTGGTTGATTTTTTCAAAAAATTAAAACAGAATCCCCCCCAAAATAGATTAAAATCAAGATAAACCTTTTATTTCATTAACAAGATAACTTTTTTTTAAAATCAACCAAAATTTCCTTTGTACAATTACAATATTGATAGACCTAAACATGTTTTGTTTATGTCGTTTTGTTCCAATGAGGTTCGGAAAGATGTTTCATTTTACTCTGGAAACATGATACCAAGAACAAAACATGTGCTTGATGTGTTTTCTGAAACAATATAGATAAAAGTATATATATATAACACCCAGGAATTCAATATTTCAACTTTATAGATCAAATGTAAATGTCACTTACAATTTTGTAACACCCTGTATCTCTGATTCTAATTTTTGGTAAAATATGATTTTTCAAAATGGCTAGCATGTTGCAATATTGTCAAAAGGTACTGATGCATACTCTAATGTATTCCCATATAATCTAAACGAATTAAAATTATTAAACTTCTTTTGAAAGTTGAAAACTGCCACTGTTTAATCAATTTCACTGAACCTATAAGCCACAAATATTTCATAAAAATATAGTAATAAACACTGTGATTGGTTAGAATATGAAATAGTATGGCCATAGTAGTGATGAGTAAATTATATTTTATTCACAAAAAAGCGAGGCAAGATGTTGTCCAACTATTTTTAGATCCTTTTGAAACTGCATCAATTTTATAGTTGAGTGGAAATCTATAAATTCATTATTTAGGTGATATTGTATAAAATCTTTTGCAATACGTTCAAAGATTAAGTACATGACCCAATGAATTGTGGATGGTTTAATCCACTCACGCATCATTTTTTATAGGTTGCATTCTTGCTGCTGCACTCATGCAAAGGTTCGGAAACAGCACAATAGTGTATTAAATCACACGTACACAATGCATTGAGACTTGGGCTTAAATCTTTTACTGTCACATTCAAAGTTTCTCTTTATTATGCATCTTATAATGCACCGTAAGATGGGACTTTTGCCTAAATAATTTAGAACAAAAATCACATTTGAAGTTCTTTTCTCCAGTATGAATTCTATAATGTAAGTTAAGACCATTCTTGTGCCTAAATTGCTTGAAACAAATGTTACATTTGAAGTTCTTTTCTCCAGTATGAATTCTTGAGTGTTTCATGAGATTAGACTGTAGTGCAAAGCTTTTAGAACAAATATCACATATAAAGTTCTTTTCTCCAGTATGAATTCTTAAATGATTTGTAAGATATTCCTTTCTTGTGAATGATTTAGAACATACATCACATTTGAAGTTCTTTTCTCCAGTATGAATTTTGTAATGGCTGGTCAGATCATTCTTTCGCGCAAATGTTTTATTGCATACATCACATTTGAAGTTCTTTTCTCCTGTATGAATTACATAATGTAAGTTAAGAGAAGACGATTGTGCAAATGCTTTAGAACAAACATCACACTTGAAGTTCTTTTCTCCGGTATGAATTCGAAAGTGTTTAGTAAGATCAGCCTTATTTGAAAATGTTTTAAAACAAACATCGCATTTGAAGTTCTTTTCTCCAGTATGAATTTTATTGTGTAAGTTAAGAGAAGACTTGTGTGTAAATTTTTGATAACAAATCTCACATTTAAAGTTCTTTTCTCCGGTATGAGTTCTATAATGAAGATTGAGACAATACTTTCGTGCAAATGTTTTGTAGCAAACGTCACATTTGAAGTTCTTTTCTCCAGTATGAATTATATGATGCGTGTTAAGATTTGACTTTTGCGCAAATGTTTTAGAACAAAAATCGCATTTGAAGTTTTTTTCTCCAGTATGAATTCTGTAATGTATGATAAGATTTGACTTTTGTGTAAATGTTTTAGAACAAACATCGCATTTGAAGTTCTTTTCTCCAGTGTGAATTTTATAGTGTAAGTTAAGAGAGGACTTTTGTGTAAATATGTGAAAACAAATCTCACATTTAAAGTTCTTTTCTTCAGTATGAGTTCTATAATGAACGTTAAGATTAGCCTTATCTGCAAATGTTTTGTAACAAACGTTACATTTGAAGTTCTTTTCTAAAGTATGAATTCTATAATGTGAGTTAAGATTTGACTTTTGCGTAAATGTTTTAGAACATACATCACATTTGAAGTTATTTTCGTCAGTATGAATTTTATAATGCTCCACTAGTTTAGACTTACATTTGAACACTCTACAGCATATATCACAACTAAGTCCTGCTTCTCCTTTATCATGTTTATAGCGTTTTGGTTTTTTCTGAAAACCACTTGTAATAATATCACCACTCGAATCATCATTTATCATCAAACAAGCAGAATTATTTATCATAGCTCTGTCGTTATTTATCGCACCATCAGCATTATTTATCACATCATCAGCGTCATTTGTCTTACAGCATGCACCATGGTCGATGGTGTTTTCCATAGCAACGGTAAACAAATGCTGCGTTTCTTAAATAAGTACTCAGCTAGGTCTAAAGTCACTCGATTATACGGCTTAATGTCCGAGGCTTCATTTTCTTTGGTAAAACTACTATATTCAATTGAATTTAAAATAGCATATTTAGTGTCATCATCAAATAATATTTTCCATTTATTGAATACTAGTAGTAACTACCTACTGGTTCTGTAAGCTGTAATTGTAAAGTTTTAGTGTGGCTTAGTAGAGTGGTTCGGTATTTCTAATCTAACAATAGTAAATCTTTTTGGTATACACGAAACTTTATCGATAAACTATGTACTTAAGTGAACCATTGTCAGACCATAACCTATAGCGCCTAATAACTGCTTCATTATTAGTTTGTAATAAATTCCGTTATACGAATATTTATGTAACATTTACAAATAAAATGCCTAAGCTTCAAATACATATATGATGTATCAAATAGACTAATAAATCCCTAAATCGGGTGCATTTTATGCTTGTAAGGACTGGAAATATTTATAACTAACAATTTATTATTCGCCAAATTTAAATTTCAAATAAGTTGCCTGTTATTTTATCGCAAAATGTATTTTTACGAATAATAATTTTGCAAATTACCCATGAATTATTGCAGAAAGCAAAGAAATATTCGTATATTAACGAATAATAAAATTGAACTTTACGAATATAAATGTGTGTTTACGAATACAAATGTGAGTTAACGAAAATAAACTGCAAGTCTCGAGGCATAGGTCACGTGACACGAGAATTTTAGGTGTGTGAGGGGAGGGGGTCATGTCTTTGACCATGTCTTGACCATGTCTCATTGAGAATAATCACGTGATCTCAATGAACCAATGAAAAAGGAATATATAAATGCAATTTACGAATACACATGACAATATTTACGAACAGTAAATGTGCACTTTTACGGAAACATATTACCTTGTTACGAAAATAAATTCGACAATTAAAAAATGAAATGCCAAGGCAAGTACTTATTCATTGATAAATTTGACATTCAGTTAATATATTTGCAGAAAAACGACAAAGGTCCAAAATGAACTTAAATTCATTTGAATACGGATATACAATGTGTCACTTAAAAATTATTTTGAGGACTTTTTAATGTATTTCAGTATAAAACACGTACGTATACGTTTTAACGAAACAAATTAGATTAACGAACAAAAAATACACATGAAACAATGAATAAAAATACTGAAGTTACGAACATAAATGTGCTTTTAACAAATTCAAAAGTTCAATATACGAATACATATTGTAAAATACGAATAATGAAGAAGAAAACATTCCATAGTTTTTAGGGATTTATTTGTCTATTTGATACATCATATATGTATTTGTAACTTATGCATTTTATTTGTAAATGTTACATAAATATTCGTATAACGGAATTTATTACAAACGAATAATTAAGCAGTTATGGCGCTATACATAACATCCTCATGACAGGTTCAATGTTGCAGCCGTTTATTAAAATTGAAATGCCCTTAAATGCAGGGTACGTACCAAATCAAGAGTGACAGTTGAACATGCGGGGTACCATATGGTGTGTATCACGTTACAGTTGATCATGAACGTGCGGGGTAAGGTACAACACAAGCAAACTGGTGTTTTCCTCGTTTCAGTAAAATCTAGTCTAATTTCTAGATATTTTTTTACATAAATGTCTGTAACAACATCCTAGACAGTGAACTTTACATTGAATTCAGCTCATTGAATTTCGCCTTATTTATCAGTGTATTTCTGCGGCGGTTTTTTACAGGCCGCATGGTCACCGTAGAAATTATAACTCAGAGTTATAATATTTGTTCATTTTTGAGGTCCCCGTAGAAATCAACTGGCTCAACAAGATTGAATCATTATTTGTCAATGTTTCACGATCACTTTTCATTTGATATTACATCCTAGCACTATGAATAACATTTATTAATTGTCCTGATGTAAATAAAAATTTTAAAAAAGTATTATTTATCAACAGAAATTTAAAATTCACCGTGCGGCTGCCGTGGGAAATGTGACTGCAAAAGTATGAGAGCGCAGAAATTCTACGGCGAGCGTAGAAAAGCTACTGGCCGCAGAAATTATAGACCGCACGGCGGCCTTGGGAAATGTGACTGGGGTGTTAGAAATCGGCCGATTCCTACTGACCATATCCATACTCTACTTCACACGTTATTTGGAGAGAAAAATTCAGGCTTCTAGATCAGGGTTTTTACCATAATATACAAAATAAACTTACTTCAGATAAGTAACAAAGTCAATAAACATTAGAATTAACATTCTCCAGCAGAAGGACCATTTCTACATCTTAAATTCAAGAAATTGTAAATTCATATTTCCTCTTCATTATGTACAATAATTATAATATTGTGAATATTAATTAAATAGTTCGGATGTAAAAAGCATATTCATCGATATACATTAGAGGTGTGCACCGATGGCACATTACTTAATCGATCAACGAAACATATTAATACATGTAGCCAATGTACATTGCAATGCTCTACTTTACACGCTATTGGTAGAGTAAAATCCAGGCTACTAAATTAGGGCATTTTATTTTTATTTACCTTAATATACAAAATACTCTTACTTCAGATAAGTAACAAAGTAAAAAGGAAATAGAAAAATGAATATGTTAATACATAAAAATCCTTAAAATAAACTATACACTTTGGGTATTTTTAGAAAATAAACATGACAAGGAATGATATGAGCCCAGGATATTCTAAAATTAAAACAATTTTTGTTAACAGTTTTTGCAAGGATCTTGCTACATGTAGATCTGATTCTGCCTTTAATTCATAAATTAAATAAGACCGGGAGCATATCAGACAAGCAGTGTTGTATATAAATGTGCAAACTACAATATGTCTAAATTCATAAACAGGACAAGACTACAATATTGTTCCAACAGAGCAAAGTCGATTGTGTCTTGTCAAGCAACACGTACGAGTGTTGTCAAAGAAGACATGAGTATATAAGAACACGTACGAGTGTTGTCAAAGAAGACATGAGTATATAAGACATCAATTTGAAAACAAAATGGCAACTATATTGCGAAAACTGTCAAAAGATAAATTATATCGTACTTCAATTCTCTGATTGGCTTACATTCAATTCATCTCGCAAGGGCGAGGGTGAATTACAATGACAGTGTGCAACTGTGTTTGTAATATAAGTTAAGACTTTTGAGTAAATGTTTTTTAACAAACATCACAATTTGAAGTTCTTTTCTCTTGTATGAGTTAGATAATGTACGGTAAGATAAGACTTCTGTGCAAATGTTTTAGAACAAACATCACATTTGGCATTTTTTCTCCTGTATGAATTTTTTTATGTTCGGATAAATAAGACTTCTGTGCAAATTTTTGGGAACAAACATCACATTTGTAGTTCTTTTCTCTTGTATGAATTTTGTTATGTTTGGTAAGATAAGACTTCTGTGCAAATGATTTAGAACAAATATCACATTTGAAGTTCTTTTCTCCTGTATGAATTTTGTAATGTACCGTAAGTTCAGTCTTTCGTGCAAACGTTTTCGAACAAACATCACATTTGAAGTTCTTTTCTCCAGTGTGAATTAGATAATGTGAGGAAAGGTAAGACCTTTGTGCGAATAATTTAGAACAAACATCACACTTGAAGTTCTTTTGTCCAGTATGATTTAGATGATGTACGGTAAGATAAGACTTTTGGGCAAATGTTTTTGAACAAACATCACATTTGAAGTCCTTTTCCCCAGTGTGAGTTTTGTAATGTATTTCAAGTTGAGATTTTCGTGCAAAAGTTTTAGAACAAATATCACATTCGAAGTCCTTTTCCCCAGTGTGAGTTTTGTAATGTATTTTAAGTTGAGATTTTTGTGCAAAAGTTTTAAAACAAATATCACATTTGAAGTTCTTTTCTCCAGTATGAGTTTTGCAATGTACCTTAAGATAAGACTTTCGTGAAAATGGTTTTGAACAGACATCACATTTGAAATTCTTTTCTCCAGTATGAGCTTTGTAATGTTCATTAAGACCAAACTTTCGTGCAAATGTTTTAGAACAAACATCACATTTGAAGTTCTTTTCTCCAGTATGGATTTTGTAATGTACGTTAAGATAAGACTTTCGTGCAAATGTTTTAGAACAAACATCACATTTGAAGTTCTTTTCTCCAGTATGAATAAGATGATGTGCGGTAAGATAAGGCTTTTGTGCAAATGTTCTCGAACAGACGTCACATTGGAAGTTCTTTTCTCCGGTATGAGTCTTGTAATGTGCGTTTAGATGAGATCTTTTTACATATGTTTTAGAACAAACATCACATTTGAAGTTCTTTTCTCCAGTATGAGTTTTGTAATGACAGTTAAGATCAGACTTTCTTGTAAACATTTTAAAACAAACATTACATTTGAAATTCTTTTCTCCAGTATGAATTTTGTTATGTGCTTTAAGATCAAACTTTCTTGCGAATGCTTTAGAACAAACATCACATTTGAAATAATCTTCTCCCGTATGACCTTTATAATGGAGGGTCAGTTGAAACTTTAGTCCAAACGTTTTAAAACAAACATCACATTTATAGTTCTTTTCTCCAGTATGAGTTTTGTAATGTATCTTAAGTATATCCTTTCGTGCAAATGTTTTAGAACAAACATCACATTTAAAGTTCCTTTCTCCAGTATGAATTCGATAATGTACGTTAAGATGAGACTTTTGTTGAAATGCTTTATAACAAACATCACATTTGAAGTTCTTCTCTCCAGTATGAATAAGATAATGTAAGTTAAGAGAAGCCTTTTGTACAAATTTTTTATTACAAACATAACATTTGAAGTTCTTTTCTCCGGTATGTATTTTATAATGTTTTACTAGGATACACTTCCATTTGAACGCCCTATGGCATATATCACATATGTGTTTTCCTTTTTGGCCACTCGCCGTCAGTCTCTGAAAATCACTTGTAACATGGTTTTCACCAAAAGTTTCACTATTCACCAAACAGGTAGAACTTTTTTTCATAATTTTGTCATTATTTATCACACCATCAGCATTATTTATCACACAATCAGCATTGTTTATCACACAATCAGCATTATTTATCACACCATCAACATTAACTATAACACCATCCGCGTTATTGGCCATGCCACATGTGGCATAGCCTGTAATGTTTTCCATACTTTTGTCAAGTTTTAATCGAGTATTAAACATTTATTCGATGGCGAACTTCGTAACATCTCAGATAAGCCCATATATGATGTATTTTTGTATTTTGAATTCTAATTACACATTAATATTTTTAATGGCACTCCAGCATATGGTTTGATGTTCAAAGCATTAAGTCCTGTTGAAAGACTTTTAATTAAAATATCATTTTTAATGTCTAATGTTGTGTTGTCTAAATAATGTTTCTAGTATTTTCCAGGACTCGTTGAATGACTTTAATATCCTTTCCTCCTGGTCCTGTGAAATGCAAATGTAGGTATGTTAGGTTCTAGTGTAGCTTACATTAGTATTACACACTACCCTACCTCGATAGCGCATGCGCGAATTTTTTGGCTTTCAATCAGGTCGCTTTTGAGTATATCGACTGCTTAGTGAAAAGGTTAATACGTTTGGTGCTCGGAGTGAGTCAATATTGCTATTTGCTGAACTTCAGTGGTGCAATAGTGAAGTCCATGTTCCAAGTTATATGATAGTTGAAGAAAGAATGTAAATAATATCGTTTTAAATTTTAAAATATTTGATATGTCATAGTACACGGTACACAGCTGCAAAAGTTGATCAATGCAGGGTACAAGGAATGTAAATTGTTCAATAGTACAGGGAGCGAGACAGTAAGCTGATTATACAGACATAGTATGTCCCGGTCTCATGTATATTTACGTTGCAAACAGTGAAAATAATGCTAAAAAGGCCGCCTGTTGATGCTTTGAGGTGTCATCAATTGTTATTTAATCCAAATAAAGTAAACATTATTTAGTAGATTTAGACACGGGCTTTCAGGTCGTATATGCATTTTAGTCATTAAATTAACAAGAACGCTAGATTATACGTGTTACTAGGGTATCAAATTGAAATAAAATAACGAAATTAAATATAAACACGTAAGTGATAAATGACCATCGGCTATCAGGATTAATGACTATCCGCTATTCAGAATAATTAAAATTGCGTGAACTACATGTAAAGAATCTTTCTATATAACCCCTTGAATGGTCTCATTCACTAACGTCCTCAAAAACCGATCATCTAAAATAGTTTGTTCAAAATACCATCATGCCACGACATTTTGTTCTTCACGATTTGCTGTAGAGGTGATATGACGTCGTATTTCTCTATTATTGTAAAAAAAACGAATACCAGATCGATGTAGTCTTATATGACGTGTTGAATGTCAGATGTTTTTGGATGGTATCTGCTCCAGTGATTTTGCATTTAATCATGAAACGCTCATCACAAGACACCTCGAAACAAACATTATCCTCCCTGTGACAAGAGGAAAAATGTTTCACAATATGTTATGCCTTACGGCAAAGTAAAGATACATTTCTGGGACGACTTTTTGCATCTTAAGATTTTAGAAAAACAATTAATTCACAAAAGTACAGTTGAATAACATACTGGAAAACGTATCCACATATAACACGATGACACGCAGTTTAAATAACAGTTTACTGGGGTTTTGTTACATATCAATGTAACATTTTCGAAGGGAAACTTACATGCTCCCTGTACGTTGACAGATTTACTGAAATGTATCGTGTATTGCATTGAGTTTTGCTTCACTGCGCCGACTATTATCTATCTTTGCCTATAGTGGTTTTTTGCCAACAATATTCTACAAACTGCTTGATGAATCAATTCTATGTCTGGTAGAACAGTAGAAATAAATGTAAAATGTATTTTACGTTCAGAAATATGGAATTAAACCCACGTCCTCCATTTGCAACTTAGCTGTACCCTGTTTCCCTTTTAAACGTGGTCACGTGGTAGGGTAGTGTGTATTAGTTCTATTTGGAATACAACTAAGCCAATATTTAGCCTATTATTGAAGGGATAATACGTGTACGTATGATTAAGTGAACCATTGCCAGACCATAATACCCCGGCGTAAAAGGGTAGGAGGTCCTATCAAATTATGGTCCTACTCTCCATTGATTTATGTGGTGACCCAATTACAACTGTTTTCCTTATTATTTATACACAATCAGGTCCAGTAAGGGCCGTTTAGAAAGGGGACCATTATCCCCAGGGGACCATGATTTCTTTCATACCGGACAGGTTCGTGTATTAAGTGAACCATTGTCAGACCATGATACCCCGGACAGGTTCGTGTATTAGGTGAACCATTGTCAGACCATAGTACCCCGGACAGGTTCGTGTATTAAGTGAACCATTGTCAGACCATAGTACCCCGGACAGGTTCGTGTATTACGAGTTAAAATAAAAAGATCAAATGGACTTTGATTATAATAAATTTCAGAAGCAGTAAAACAAACCAATAGGATAGTTTCTAAATAGCAGAAAAATCAATGAAATCTCGTGCTGCCATCTTTTATTCAGCTTTTAACTCTGGCTAGAGCTCCATTCACTTACATGCTAAAATCTTGGAAAAGTGGCTTAATTTCATGATTTATCAAAGTGTGTTTGTTGAATCTGTATAAAACTTGAATGATATACCACATGATGACCCTGTTTATGAACATGTTGTGATTAAACATGCTAATGTTGATTGACATACAAATAATCCACGGTTTTAAAGAATTTTAGCATTGCATCTATGGACATTTGGCCCAACTTTTTTTAAATTGTCATAGAAAATTATTCAAATTACATAACTGTGTAAATCAAAGCTATTTTAGGAGAAAACATTCCACTGAATTCAAATATACCATTTAAAAGAAGGTAATGTAAGTCATTAGAGGTCTAATATGCAAGTCTCTTAAAATCTCACGAAAAACGAGATTTAGCGAGATTTCAAAAGCTATATGGAAACTATACTATTTAGGTGAAAAGAAGCCAAGATTGAGAGCAACAGCAACAGTGGAATAAAGTATAGTATTTCACTTATGACGCATGCCTAAAATCAAGCCCAGATATAGGAGTCCAAAGGACACACGTTCAATTGCTCTTTGTATTCCGTAACCATTATTTTTCGAAAAGAAAAATAGCGATACCTCAGGAAATAAACAACCTTTGGCTGCGAAGATACAATACATACATACTGTCCCGCTGTATGTTGTCCCTGCGATTGAAATTCATGAGATTTAATATTAAACAATGCAATGATTCAATTTCAAAATGCATTAAGGTTTTTATGAGTGACAAGTGATGTTCAAGCATATGATGTTAAAGATAAGGTAAATGTGATTTTGAACTCTTTTTGAGTGTTTTTTATTTTATTATAAAAGTGTTGTTGTTGTGGTGGTGGTGGTTAATATGTGGCCATGGAGTGTTAGCGTCTAGCCTCTTTGATCATTCGGCGTCTACGGGCTGTACCTTACGTTTTGTTAAGTTAGAGAGATCTTTACCAGCTTGACGAAGATGACTTTTTAAAATCTCGTTAAAGTGTGCGCCCGATCTGGCTACGTATATAACAGAGTTTATACTGGCGGATTAGACTAGTTCATTTTTTATATGTGTGTGAAAGCTTTCTCTTATTTGCGTTTTTTTCGTTTAGTACGGTTTTGTTATAATTGCCGAGGTCATATAACCGGGATAAAACAAAGATTATCGTTGACTGCGCACACACAAAACATTTACGTCGAGTGAACAGTGTTATTAAAAACAACAAGCTTTAGAATACAAAGCCCAGTAGTGTGATAATAAGCTGTACACTACCACTGCTGCATGTACATATTAGGGTTCATAAAGAGTGGATAGGGAGGTTGTGTTTGTCACTTTTAAATTTTACATTTCAAAATTGCCATTTTACATGTCATAATTTCTTGGTTTCATTCGTTTAGCCAATCAAAACATTGTAAAACAATAAATCGTCTGTTACGTATAATCAATTTTGTTCAGTTTTGATTAGTTGTCATAATGAAGTTACGTTCATCTGAATCCATGTTTCAAAACAAAAATCATATTTTCTTCAACTCAAAATACTTCAGTGAGATGAATGATCGGAATTGTCGTTTGCAATAACTTATTGTCGTATTCGTTCTTTTATCTACTCGATAGAAGCATTTAGTCGTACATTTGATGCCAGGTCACCTTCTCGCGTACCTCTTTGGGAGCCCCACATTTGTGTCTGTACTCATGGAAGTAAATTCCCCGGTGTAGCCGAGAGCCACAAACTTTCAACAGGTTCGAAATGGCCAATTTCTCTCATATATACTCATATTTTATTGATTATCACCTACAAAGTATTGCTAATAACTATATGTAATTTTAATAAGGAAACTTATCTGGCTACATGTAAATGCAATATCAACACTAGATGTTCGCTCAACACGTCATGACTTACCTTGTGATGACAAACCCTGGGTTTTCGCTATTTATAGTTTATCAACACCTGGACGCATGCGCATTTTATAGTTTATCAGGCACTTTAATGATATATCTGGAAAGTGCTCAATACTTTCAATAGTTCAGTCAAATTGAAGTAATACTGTAATTATTCAGTTTCAATTTCGAATGCATCTGACCATCTTGCCCATTAGTGTTATGAAAATACGTTGGCTGCATTAGGGTTAACTGTAAATTCAATGGGACAACGTACATTCGAGTTGACAATGTACACTTATAATTTTTAAATTATAGCCAAAACGAAACGTTAATATTAAATCTTCAATCGACCTTTATTGTGTAGTAGTGTGTAACATATTCTCATAAAATCCAGTCTCCAAGTCCATAGGCGTTTCAGAGGGTCAAAATCCATTCACAAAGCCGTCGCCATAATCCATAAAACATAATAATTCACAATGGTCATCAGGAGAAAACTAATGGCTGCTATGAAGTTGATTAAACCACTTTTTGGTTTTGAACTTTTTTAAACCACGCTTTACGGAGAAAAATGACCTTATTTAACAAGAAAATCATGTTGTAAGTTGCACTATTTTATTGAGCATTTGTATCCATATATCAAATGTCCAAGCCATTATTTTTACATTAATATTCAAGTTTAAAATCCAGAAATTCAGCTCCCAAATTGATACAAACATAGATGTATTATGAATATTGTTTGTGCTTATGTCAATTTGGAACATGGTACGAAACTCAATAGTCTCTAATAATGGATAATTAACCAGGAAGTCAAAGGTCACACAATTTGGTTGAGCATTTTAGTTTGTTGATACTGGGAATGCATGTTTTCTCTATAAAATGAGTACTTCCATTACAGATCCACAGTTTTTAATTTGCAAATAGTTGATAGGTATGCGAGTGCATACTCATTCTATGATACAATCAAGCCACCCTATAATACTGTTGCAAGTACATCACCCTATTCTTGTTGATTTAAATCTCAGTATGAGATATGCAGTAGTCCTGCTCACTAGTAGAAAAACAAACAGAGCTAGATGCATCGCCCAAAGAGGCCAACCTATACTGATAGACTGCAGATACTCCGATTGGTCTATGCTAGTCACATTCGGGTTAAGGCACTCTGGAAATGAAGTCAGATTTCCTCCCACACACCTAAAAACGTATGACTTAATGTTTTAAAATGGAATAGAAGGAGATTCGTCAAAACTGAACGAAATATATACCAAATAAATTGAAATTGCCCAGTTAGATTGAGTAATTCAAGGTGGCTCTGAAGTATATAATATAAATACAAAGACATTATACTAATTTCCCTTCCATACCCATTACCAAAGACTGGAGGTTTCAAATAAAAAGCAGAGAGATGAATGACAATAAGTGAAGGCTGTTGTCTATACCAATACCAACAGATGAACAGAGAAATAATTATTACACAAACCACTTAAGTGATATAGATGTTATGTGTTAAGGGTTACAGGGGCGGATCTGGGAACCAACAGGAGGGGGCAAATTTCAGGTCAGAGAAAAAAACTTGGCCTGAAATTCAAAAATAAGGCCTTTAAAGGCCCAGTAAAGGCCCCTAGATCCCCCCAGATCCGCCGGTGGGTTATATATGTGGCCCTCTCATGACGCGACAATCTTGGGCAACTTACAACACTGGAGGAGCATTCGTGAACTCATAAGTAATCTGGATGTTGTAGACGTAGAGCACAACTGAGAGATACTTGATCCAACCGATCCAGTAAGGAAGGTTCACTGTGTAGAAACCACCTGAAGTACATGTACATTTGACAATATTAGAGTTCATCATTGTGGGATCCACAGCCTTTACTATCCTTTTGGAATAGTTCAGCTCTCAAAAGCGTTAGGTAAAGAGGGACTCTGATAAATCAGAATGAGAGTTCATCAATGGGTAAAGGTGAATACTTAATGCAAGGTGCATGCAAATTCATTTACTTTTTAGGTTCATTAATTGTTAAGTTCATTACTTGCCTGCTAGAACATTGAACAGCATAAACATAGTTCCAGCAACAAATGACATCTTAAAGATTTTGAATGATGCTCCAAATATAAGACCAAATCCCTAAAATAAATAATCAATTATTATAAGATTTTTCTTTGAAATGCTGGAAAACTGAAAAATATGTTCTGTCAACTTGGCAAAAGCAGGCTATGGGTCTGTAATGAGTACTGAGTTGTCATGATTTACATCACCTCATAGAGGGGACAATTCATAATGACTGACTCCTATGCTCAGATATCAAAACAGGGACAAGTCCTTAAGGTCTAATTATCCCCAGGGGGTGTAGCATATGGGAACAAGTCCTTAGTCATTAGGGATCATTACGAGGTGATGCACATAGGACATGTTTGTACATGTACAAAATTATCATGTTATGTAAAAAGAAAACACTTATGTTTGTTCCATCTAATATCAGAGATAATTTAACATTACAGTGAGGAACATCTCAGTCATTCTTTAAATTGGTATACTGTATTTCCTAATTAATCTTACTATTCAATGTATTAAGAAACGCACTGTTCAATGTATAAAATAGACGAGCAATAATCAGTATGAAATATCATATGGGTCAACATAATAAAATGAACCACCTGAGCTGTTATTGCCCCAAGAATGATAACTGCTAAATCACCAAAGTACGCCGTAACACCATTTAGTCCAGCCACCCAGAACACAATTGACACAAACACCAAAGGCTGAGCAATTATTAGTGGAATCTCACTACTCATTTTTGCAAAGAAGTACGCCGAGAGCCTGTAAGCTCCACTGGATCTTTCCTTGTTCACAACTGCTCGGTCCTCTGGAACTGGAAAAAATTATTTGTTTATTGTTTATATACGGTATTTGAACAAAAATGGAATGTTAATATCATTTTGAAAGATTAAGAGCCATTTGTAATTGAGTTTTTAGTGTACTTACACGCAGTAATTGCATCAATGATTGAAAAGAAACCAAAGTAGATCGATGTGAAGAAAATCTGGAAGAAAGAACACATAGGTATTTTATAATATGTTTAATGAGATATTCACACAAAGCTACAGGTTGATCACTAAATAAGGTAAAAGTATCTGGCATTTCTTCAGATTTTGCCCAATCCTCATAAAATGTGTACAGAATAATGTTCAAACATTATTGAATTGATATATATCCATAGCAACAGAAAGCATGAAGACCCGGGGCAACTAACAAAAAACAACATTTTCAGTCGAAGCACTTTTGATAATATATTTCAAGTCACAATTGAAATGACATATCATATTCTTTTATTTTATTTTATATTATTTTATACTTCATAACTACTCCAATTAATGTCCTTTGTTTTTAACATATACATGAAGTTCAAGTCTTCTACTCCAGTCTTTGAACCCCCTTTTCATAGCCTGCAAATTTTCAAGTCTTCCCATGAGAAACTCCCTCAACTCCCTCTTCAGCTCCCCATGAAGGTAAAATCATAAGGGGACAACTCAGGAGAGTATAGTACATGGCCTAACAGTGGGAAACACAGTGTTTCACTTTGGTTTGTACCATGAGAATAGCATTGTGAGACGGAGCATTATCCCAGTGCAATGTGAAACGTTTTGCGGGCCTCTTAGCTTCTTCCTCTTTGCTCTGTGGGTATTGTTTTTTATCATTGACCTGTGTCATAGACTTTCTATGATCACCTCAGTTTTCATTATATATTCATCTTTTCCGTGACATCAAACATCATTTGCAAAAAATATGTAACAATGGAAACAAAGTATTAAAACCATAAGTACTAGCACCCACTTTTATTTCTTTTCAGTTTTAAAAAAATGAAAGTATATTCTTTAAGTTATTTCGTATCTTTTAGGTGATTTCGTAGAAAATGTTTTGCAAGAATTTAAATCCAAAATTCAATGCATTGTGTCTGATCTATCTCATTCGGACGTTGTTAAACTTATCACTCGATTCTGCGAATCATGAGCGAAGGTTGAAACAACACATTTTGAGGAGTGATTAGTCCACAATGCACTGAGTCCAGGGCTTGAATCCTTAAAATTACCGAACTTATGATATTTTGTCACAATTCTGTTACTCGGGGATACTTGTAATTTCACCATAAATAATGGGGTTTTGAATTGCATCAATATACATCGACACATGGCTTGACCAAATACGCCTGGGCATGAGATATTTTTAAATGCCCTTTGAAGATGCAAATAATTAACACTTACTAGACCAATCCGATCTTTTAATGTAGCCTCAGTACGTGGCATTTGAAACCAGAATAAACTGGTGAGAAGAGCAAGGAACATCGTTTGGATAATATTGAACTTGGAAAGAATTCTGTCTTTGGCCTGGAAGAGATTGCGTCGTGTTAATACACTGTATTGGGTCCACCATGACGTCACCCACTTCTCATTGTCATTCAACATTGAATTTGCATCATCATATTGTTCTTGCGTCTTGTCATCTGAAATATATGTGGACGAACTGGAATCAAGGGATTTCATAAATATGTAGGCACAAATGCCAAAGTGAAAGGGGCCAAAACAGAACATATCAAGAAAAATAAACCATCTAAGAGCACACCAACAAACCTCAGATATCCCAAACCATGATCTAGCCGACGCAATAATCCATAAAATACAATATTTCACAACTTCATCAGGAGAAACTATGGCTGGTTTCGATCCCTATCCAAATCTTCAAAATGGATAATGTATGGTAACCATAATTTTGAATTAAATTCCATTCTCATAAAACTTACTTTGAATTTGCCAAATACAATCACCGCTAATTTTAACATTTTCTTTTATTGTTGTTTGGGTCAGACAAAGACATAGTTACACACAGCAGTTTTTCAAGAAACTATTAGCCCGACTTTCGTTTGTGACAGATTCCTCACTATTTTCATCGTTCTCCAAAATAAACACTTTGAGAGTAAAAACCATCGGTCCAATTATCGTTTATTTTCACTGTTCTTAAGTGTGACTGGTGAAAATAAGATACTTATGTACATCCTTTGCCACCCAAGATTGTGATTATTGATCTGCTTACCAAATTCAGTAACTGGAACTGCCAATGCTTTGCCAGATGTTGAATCTTTTATAGTGTCCTTCTCAGTTGTAGCCTCCATCGTAAGTTTGACTTCATCGATGTTATATGCTTCATTGATTTTTCCACTTGTCATCTTATCACAAATGGCCAGCTGTTTTGTTTTGTAGTCATGGTGGAGCTCTACGGGCCAGTCTTCTGAATCCCTGGAATAAAACGCAATATTATGGTGTAATATTCAGAATGTGTAATGGTGAAACAGTGTTGTTTCATTTCCTCATTTAAAACAATTGCAAATAAATAAAGAAATTGACTCCTGATAACAACCTAACTTTTGTTAGAATAGCATTTAACAAATAAAAACAATGTAGAGCTTTGTAATAGGGTCAATCAGTGATGAAAATACCACTTCATGTCGTAGGATTGCGATGCACTTGTCTCGATGATTTTTAGATGGCATGGCCTGTTGTCTGGCGAAGCCTATTGTGTTCGTCAACAAGACAACAAGTTAAACAAGTCAACAAGTTAAAATGTAGAAATTACCTTAATTTGTTGGCAGCTTCAAGGATTGCATCTTGAACGTCCTTCTCCTCGTTAACCTTTTCTACTGGAAGAATAATGTCCGAGGTGTTGGATGCAGAACAACTAATGGACTAGAAAGATATAAAGCCTCTTACACATAGTGTAAATAAATTGAATTGAACAAAGTGATATGGTATATTTACTAGGTAATTCTAATACCAATACATGTCTATATATCTCTTAATCACAATATTCCTTCATTTTCTCTCAAAAATACTTACAAATAAAGTCTGCAGGGTTGTAGTTCATAGAGCATTCTAGACCCACAGAGGAGAAAAAGGAAAGAATTTTACTTCCTTCACCAAAGTAAGCAACCTAAAAAGTGATTACAGTGGATCTTATTTCAAGTTGTGTTAAGGGATTATCCATTATATTTAGGATATGCTCATAATATAGAGGTTTTGGTTGCATATGGTCCGTTTGGGCATCTCTTAAATGAAGTGTTCATGTATTGAAGTTTTGAAAAATTAAGGCCCATTTTTGATAAATTGACTAAAAAGTCCTTTAAAGGCCTGATCATGCCCAAAAAGGCCCATTTTTTATGGCCCTCCAAAACTTTTGGACCCAAAAACTAATTTTTTCTGGGCCCACTAAAGGGGGCCCCCCGGATCCGCCACTGGATTTAATTGTACTAACATACTCATTTTGCTGTCAATAAGCAGATTCATGATATTATTATGTGTCATATGTAAATCTGAGCCGGTTTCACAAATTATACAAGATTCAAAATGACGCATTAATATTCTTGTGAGAAAGTTACAATTTGTCGATTACTTAACATTCATGGTACTCAATCAACACTGATAAACCCATCGAACACAATCATAAACCATGATTGTTATCTTGAGCACTCCAAACAGTCATCCTAGGACAGTAATATGAACTTATTCAACTTGCAAACTTTGAAAATATTGTACTTTACGTAAGACTGGATAAGTCTGATGTATGATTGATGTTATAGTTTTGTAACTCACTTGTCCTTCTGTCATAAGGAGTACCCTATCAAAGAGATGGTATATCTGGCTGGAGGGCTGGTGTATTGTTGTCATTACTGTCTTGTTGTTCACCTGCGTGTAACTCTTCATGATCTTCATCAGATTGCAGGCTGTGTTGGAGTCCAAGCCAGAGGTTGGTTCCTGATTACACATAAAACAATAGCAAGCGTTTTAAGAAAGATACAGCTACCTCTTAAAGGCCCCATATAAAGTTTAAACCACTTTGGCTTATATTGTAGTCTTACCCAATGTTATCAAAGTGTGATATGTGAAACTTTTTTTTTAAATTTCAAAATGTGGTTTTTGATAGACTTTTTGTTCCAAAATTTGTGAATTTATTTAAAACCAACTTTTAGAGGTCACTCATATCTTCTAATTAGCCACAATTCATACCAATGCATAGCATTCATCCTCCCATGTTTTTTGCCGAAAAAATTTAGAAAATCGGTTCATAAATAAGCGAGAAATGAACTAATCAGTGCATGAAAATGGTTCTGAGAAAAATGCATTTCAAAATTTTAGTTCTCATAGAAACCAATGGTACAATGATACCTAAAACATAATTTATTCTATCTTTTGACCTGGTTAGACAATCAACTTTGTTTTTTTATGAAAGTCTAACATATTAAGAAAAGATTGACATCGAAAAAAAAATTCTAATTTTTTTCAAAAAGTTTTTGGTACCTTAGTGACATCACTAATGTTTCAAAATATTTTTGATATGCTAAAACTTTGAAGTGGCCCATTAAATATGGCATTTTATTATTGAAATAGTGTGTCCTTTGTGCAATCTTAGCATTGGTGTTAAAAAGATAATCTTTTTCGAAATGCATTAAGAAATATTTGATGATTAAGAAATTTCAACTTTTTTGAAAAATGGCGGGAAATTTGAATATTTAAGAAATGAAATGCTCACAACTTTTTTATCAAAATTTTTTTTTGTTCAAAAATCTCTAAAATTACTTTTTAAGTCCTGACAAATAGTAAATGAATGATAAAAAAATATTTTCAAACTTTAGACGGGGACTTTAAACGGGTGGTTGTAATCACAAACAAAAATATAGTTGCAAGCAAACTTTCAACATACCAATAGTTCACCTACAATCGGAAATTGAGTGGAAATAATTGTTTCAAAGTAATATTGGCAAATAACTTTAAGAATCTAATCATTTGTATGACATAAAATAGTAAGGCGATTGCATTCAATGTTGGGACACAAAATTATTGTATCATTTCTTAGTTACTTTAGATCAACTCTTCTCTACTCTTTCTGCCCCGTTGAAGGAACATTTTGATAATAAAATTATTATTAAAGAGGCCCTCCTAGCTACTACTTCAATTCACCATTTCAGGTCATATAAACTCACATCTAGCAACATTAGCATTGGGTCTGTCAATATCTCATTGGCGATGTTTGCTCTCTTCTGCTCTCCTCCAGACAAGCCCCTTTGAAACACATCACCAATAACTACAAAATAAGAGGTCACATCTTATAACTATGCAGGTCACATGCTATTAACAACATTGCGTCATTAGATGGGGTATGATTTTGATGTTAAGGAAGGATCTGAATATGGAGTTATGTCGATATCTTGAAATAAAATAGTGAAAGCTCTTACTTGTGTCCAAGCATTTCCTGAGGTCCAGTGCATCTACTATTTCCTCGACTCGTCGGATTTTTTCCTTCTTTGGCATTTTCTCAGGCAGACGCAGTAAAGCTGTGTACTGTAAAATGATAACGTCATGTACATTCGGTCAATTTTCGTGTTTTGAGAAAAGTGGTTTGTAAATCATGAAATAAACTTCCAGACCTCTCAACTTGAAGGCCTAATCCTCATAACATTCTCAAAACCCAAACGTTTCCAGGATCCATGAATTACAATCAACTTCATATAAGCAAAGGTTATTTAGGTACAAGATGATCACAAAAGTAACACTTTTTGCCCACCTTGTACTGAAGTCCTATTCCGGATGACAGTTGCGAAATGGATTCCAATATGAGTCTCATGAAGGTGTTGAAAATGTTATTAATCAAAACTTACAGTTAATGTTTGTCTGAGGGTCAGGTTGCTGTAGAAAATGTCCTGTTGAAGAACGTAACACATTTTCTTCCTCATGCGTTTGCTGATTGGTTGTCCACTGAGACTTATCTCCCCACTGTCTGCTACAATACGTCCAGCAACTACATTAAGCAGCGTCGTTTTGCCAGAACCTAAAATACAGTAGCCATGATTAATTTATGAAGTCGAACGCACATCCCATCTTGCTTCATCAAGCTTCGGACCTATCCTCAGACAGAACGTAGTGATCATCTCCCCAATGCATGACCTGCTGGGCTCTTGAGTTTTTTCTAATATGGATGTTGTTTTGCTCTTTGTTCTTTCCCCTTTTCATTTGAATAAATGATTTCAAGATTCTCATTTTCCAAATTCCAAGAACAGCCTTTATTACACGAGGAATTGAAAATCCCAAAAGATAATCGAATGTATGAAGTACCACTGTCCGATTCGACTCCTCCTGATTACAACCAAAGGTTCAAGACAGGGTGCGAACCACTGATAATGTCATACTCTAGATGTTATTGGAAATAGCCAGACAATGGTGAATACATGATTGGGGCATGTGATAAAACGATTTTGGGGAATTTCGGTTACTTATTTATATTTTGATATGACTCTCCGCATTCTAGTTGTACCTTAGTAAATATCAAAACAGGAATACAGTTTTAAGCTAAGAGAAAAAAAATCAAAAGCAATCGAAATCTTGATGATTATTGTCAATTGATTTATTACCACTCGGTCCCATGACGGCCAACATATCACCCTGCTTTGCAATACCAGAAACATCCTTCAAAATACTTCTCTCTCCGATGTCATAATTGATGCCCTTAAACACCAGATCTATTCCTGGTTTCTTTCCTTCTCCATATTCTCTGAAACATTAAAACAGACTGTGTAAGTGAAGCGTTGAGATTAATTTAGATTTGCATCGCTATCACAATTAAAACACACATAAAAATACGTTCTGCATTATTGTGCCATTCAGTGCCTTTTAATATTTGAAAGTGGACAAAGAAACTAGCTCCAGAATCCCAATTATGATCTTTGATCAAGGAGAGGGAATACCCCATAATTCATAGATTCACAATTTCCAAATGGTTTTCCCAAAATAGAAGACTGCAACAGCAAGCAGAGCCTTCGAAAAGTTTATATTCATTTTGCTAAACGACACTAAATATATTCAGATACAATAATGTTGTAGTCCTCTTCAAGAATGCTCACCTTTTCTTGGTTTTGTCTTTAAAACCAGCCATTGTTCAATGATTCCATGGATACGTAGAAAACAAACCTGTCGTTAAAGCTGAGCACAAGTGTTCTGTCTTTGTTTCAACTAACATGATACAGCATTAATGGATCTCCACTAGAGATTTATTTGATACGATTTCACAATTCAAGTATCACCCTATGCAGACAGAGCCTGTGGGAAATATTGGGTGCGGCGCAAATGAGCGGAGGGTGCGGAGCTAACGGTCATTCTTGAATTTAAAATTGGGATATTTCTGAAACTAAGCCGTTTTGGGACTTCAAATATACCAAGATATGTGTATTTGACACCAAATATCAATAAAATTGTGAAAATAGTAGTGCAATTCATTTTATAGCGACGCAGTATGCCTTAAACATTTCCCAGATCTATATATTTTGAGACTATCCTTTTAATACTGCGTCCCCAGCATTTATAAAAAATGGTGTTCAAGATACATTACCCATGCAAATTATTTTTGCATCTTGGAAGCCAGGCAGTATCTGTGTGATTTTATAAAAATTCGGAAATGTTCTTCAGATATGAGCCCCCTCTAAATATTGGGTGCGGAGGTACGTTTATGGAGCTGCTCCGCACCCAATATTTAGAGGGGGCTCATATCTGCAAATCATTTCCGAATTTTTATAAAATCACACAGATACTGCCTGGCTTCCAAGATGCAAAAATAATTTGTATAGATAGTGTACCTTGAACACCATTTTTTATGGATGCTGTGGACTCAGTATTAAAAGGATAATTTCAAAAGATATAGGTCTGAGAAAGGTTTAAGGCACACTGCGTCGCTATAGAATGAATTGCGCTACTATTTTCACAATTGTATTGATATTTGGTGTCAAATACACATATCTTGGTATATTTAAAGTCCCAAAACGGCTTAGTTTCAGAAATATCCCAAATTTAAATTCAAAAATGACCGTTAGCTCCGCACCCTCCGCTCATTTGCTCCGCACCCAATATTTCCCACAGGCTCTGTCTGCATAGGGTGAGTATTGACAAACCATAAAAGTTTCACGTGTTGAATATGAGAACTTATCAGATGTCACAATAAACATTTATGATAACTTAAGTCCAATTAGGTATTAAGTTCACCAGGTATTACAATTTATTTCGTAATTTTCGTCTGAATTATTCTTTGAGGTCTTCAATCCCCATACATTACTTCTGAGGTAAAACAGACGTTTTGATACCCACTAGATGCTTAATCGTGTAACCAATTGTGATTTCAGTTGAATAAAACTCAACATTTGACCATAATTCAGCAACGTGTAATGACAATCATAACTACAGAATGGACCAAAAGAACACCCCCTAGCCAATAATCCAAATGCTATGTATAACCAATTATTTGACATGGGGGTCAAAAATACAACTTTTTAATTTTCATCGATTTTGCGAACAGTACTACCAAATTTTACTGTTCAGTTAAAAATTGCATCATTGTCATGAGCCTTCAGAAAATGAATTTTTTTCAAATGTTTTTTTATATCCTTGGGGAGTCCTTTTTAACAGCAGCTCATTTCAGTAACATTCGGAGTCTATCTTTGCTCCTGGTTCAACAAAAAGAGGGTCGGTCTTTCCTTTTTGGAAACACTGAATGACATCACTACCTTTCAAGAAAAATGTCAGTTCGATTTAACTTTATCGCAAATATCACTCTTCTTGCTTACTAATATATCGAGTCTATCCTGTTGATTAAATGTATAGTATTTTGGAACATTTAGAAAAGTTGGTTTATGAAGATCCCTAGCCTATAAGGAATGTAAACAAACTGAAGGAACGAATAATTAGGAGTTGGATGGTACTTCCGCAGAGATCCATCAATTATGCCAATGGCTTAATTTCGCGTCTTATAAGAAAACCGGGTATAAAAGGAAGATGGAATAGCCAAGAACAGTCAATTATGTTTGATTTTGCCTATATCATGATTTCTGAGAAGTATCAAATACCCAAATTTGGTACAGACATGTACAGTCCCCTCCATAAGTTTGGCAACCTTTTTCGCCCATTGAACTACGTGTTAAAGCCTCTTTACGGTAGAATTTTTATTTACTTAACCGGCGATGAAATAACGTATAATATTGATGGAAACGTAACTTGACTTTATTTCCAATACCTCCAATTTTTCTCAATTTTTTCCTCAATTACAATAGGTCGAAAACTGATGATAACTTTGATGAATTTTTGAAAATCGTCATTCCCTTGTTATCCAATGGGAAATGGAGGGTTCGGGGCAAATCAGAAATCAGGATATCTTTTCAGTAAAAGATTCAGCAAAAAATATTTTTATATAGAAAATTGATTTGTCTTACTTTTTTGAACGCTAAGTGTTTAGTTTGTTTGATGAATATTAAAGTTACAGCGCTTCAAAGTCATTTTTGAAAATAATTTTTCGCCTCCTGTGTTATTTCAACGGGAGAGATTTTTTGAAAAACAATTTTGACTTTAAAGCCCTATAACTTTGTTGAACCTGAAGAAACATATCAATTTTTTGTTAAATAAAGTTAGCAAATTCAATTGCCTGCCTAACTCTTATTTTTTGCAAGGACTCGGATGGATATTCTGTCATCTGACTTGCGGCAAACCTACCATTTCTCATTGGTTAACATGGGAATGTCGATTTTCAAAAATTCATCAAATTTATCATCAATTTTCGACCTATTGTAATAAAGGAAAAAAATTGAGAAAATTTGGAGGTATTGGAATTAAAGTCAAATTACGTTTTCATCAATAGTATAAGTATTTTCATCGCAGGTTAAGTAAACAAACATTCAAAGGTGAAGAGGCTTTAACACGTAGTTCAATGAGGGAAAAAAGGTTGCCAAACTTATGGAGGGGAGTGTATGAAACCATAATGAATACAAATATGAAATCATATTCAAGTATTATGTAGTATATTTCAAGCAAACTTATTAAATATGAGCAGTTGGATGTGGATTGAATTTCAAATTGACCAATACTTGTGCTTATGTTTATAAATACCCCAAAACTGCCAAGCCACATCCTCTGCTGACAGTTGATTGGCTGTTTGTTATCTTGGTAGGCATTTCACATGTTACATAAGACACCCTCTTTTTAAGCGAATAAGTCGATCAGAAGATGGGCCTATTAAGCCATATAATGGACAGGCTGATGAAGAAATGAATTTGTTTTATAAGCAAACACATGTGTTTTAAGCATGTACGGTTCAAAAAATGAATGAAAACAATGTATAATATCCAGTTAGGAAAGTTTTAACTGAATGGTAAAATTTAAAATTGGTAGAAAAAGGTTAAATGTTTACAAAATCGATTAAAATTGAGAAGGTGTTTTTGACCACCATGTCACATAAATGGTTTTATCCCAAGCCACTAGCCAGGGTTGTTGAAAATTGCTCTATTATATATAATTGTTTGTTGCAAATTAAATTATATTTATTATGATATATCATTATTGGTGTGTCTGTTAAAAATTAAATATTTATCAGGAATATTGGCTTGGGGGTGGTTTTTTGGCCCACCTTGTATATTATAACAGAAAGTGGTGGCCATTTTGAACATTTTCAAGATTTTCTGTTGTTGAAAAATGTTGAAAATACGCATAGTGAGGCCTTAATATTACATTTGATAGAACAAGAACTGCTCCGTATTAAAAGTGGACGAATGAAAATTAAGTATTCTTTTTAGGACATTTCAATTTTATTTCTTTGTGGGTTGTTTGAGAGGGTTCAAAATCCAGTATTTTGTTGTTTGTTGGTCAAGTGCTCGTTGAAAGTAAATGTTTATGTGATGTTTTGTTTTCTAAACAACTCGTTTTCAAGCGTGAACTTTTTTCTATGTGGACAGCTTGGTTTAACCACATGTTATTAATTTTACAGGATTTCTGTTCTTACTTAACTTCAATGTGTGCAGGGGAGGCGTCAAATTGACCCCCTTGATTTGTTCAATAGTACTTTTGCGAGTTTTTTCTGCCTCTGTTATTTTTTTCGAGTTTGCACCAAAGATAATGGACACTTGTTTTACAAGATGCATGATTTGCTGTCTGAAATCTTGAATTGAGAAATAAATCAATTTAAACTCTAAGATGACCAATAACTCAGATGCGAGTAGGTACTTACCAGTTCACCACCAGGCGGCTCGTTCGGGCCAGATGGCATTGCAGGTGTATGAAAAAGTTCCCTTTAACTTAATATTCATTTGTTTTAGTCGTTCAATTTTCATATCACCCTGTTTATATTTGTGCAAATTAAAATATGTCCATTAAAAGAAAATGTTATCTGTCCAATACAATAAAATATATTTCACTTTTTGTGATTTTACAACATTGTGTCTATGGGGAATCAAAAGCTTTCATAAAATCTGAATTTTCAAAGTTGATAAACAATTTCGAAACCATGTTTCTAGATGTACTTTTACATGCAGATTTAAAACATGACATCACTTTGATAGAATTCGTGTGCACGAAGCAATTGTAAAGCTAATCTTGTCTTTATTTCGTCGGTTTAGGTCATCATTTTTACTGGAATCACATGTAAAAAGTGTCTCACTTTTTTTGGACACCCGATATATGTGTGCTACTAAATGATTATACGGTAGCCATACGAACCAGTGCGTGTTATAAGGTACTTCCTAAAACTTCAGTGAAGCTTTAAAAAACACTATTGACGCTTAGTCTAACACCATGCAGACAACACCAGGATATATCTTACTTAATTAATTGGCCAAATTGAGACTATCTGCAACATATTTATGTTGTCCAACATAGGGATGAAGGCAATCAGCCAAATGTCTACGTACAATTAAATATCAAACGACATAAAGTTCATAGTTTGGACAGATAACACAAACAGTCTTCGTAAACACCCCGGATTGAGGATATTGACACGTACAATTACAATAAATACTGTTATCTTAATTATTTTAATAGTTATTAGGTTTATACATGTAAAAGGAAAACAAGGATATTAGAAAAATGAAATGTAAGTTGAATTACATGAACGTGGCCAGATTGATATGGACTGGACTAGAAATAGGATTGTTTTGTGGTATTTCATTTGGATGGTCTTCTTGGATCCATGTTTTTAAAGACGATGGGATATTCGCCGACATCTGCTTAACGAAGTACATGAAAACAAGAAGCAATGCTACATATGATGGAGCCCCGTTAACAGACGCACGCACTGATGTAACTACACTGTTTGATGATGACGTGTCATCTAGAGTCAATGCAAGCGATTTGGAAAATAACGCAGCCATTGAATGCAGAGAAAGGAACGACATGTTTAGTTTGGTATTTACGACAATGAATGTGCTCACCGGTATTCTCTCCATTATTAATGGCTACATATACGATAGGTTTGGTACGCTGGTGTGTCGTCTCTTGTCTCTGTAAGTTGCTTATTAATCTGGGGTGTATTTCTTTGCCATTTTTTCTTCTTTTTTTATTTGACTCCACTTTATGCCCAAACATTTTTATTATTTGTCCCACCTACCCAAAACATGAGTTACCATAGCAACCATATTTTTCATCAAAATTGAGGAGAGTCAATGAAAGGCATTCTAATTTGACATTGTATTTAACACAACCTGTGAAAATTTGAATGAAAAGGGCACAAAACTCTTAGTTTGAGAGCAATTTTCGCAAAACTTATTGATCGATCTGGTACAACACGTGATTTTTTCATCGATGTTAGCATACTGCTTAATATAACTTTTTTATCTTAATGTAAAATAACAAGCTAGTATATTATTTAACACGAAAGAAATTAGCATAATATTATTCGAAGCGTGTTTAGAAAATTTTGAAACCGCCATTGAATGAAGTGATTTGTTTTAGCATGCGCCAAATCGCTTCCAAAGTGGCTTAGTTAGTCTAAACCGATGTTGAGGTAGATTACTAAGAAGTGGCCCATAGTCATTAAAGATTGGTTCATTGACTTTTCATTTTCACTTGTCTGCAGTTAATTAGGTGACACGAAAGGGCCAAACGGCTTGCTCCAAGGTGCAACCGTCAAAAATATGAGTTTGAAAAAAATCATGTTTTTCAAATAATAGCAGTGAGTATAAGAAATAGGAGGCATATTTGATATTGATATGTATGATAGTCTATTTGGGTGTGGTCATTTTTATTAAAAATAATAATGGTGAAGAATTATACATTACTGACCTTGAAATGCCATTTTAATTCAAAAATCACTGTTGCTAATGATAATATTCCTATTTTACTTAATTAATGTTTTCTAGATGTTTCAATTACCATTATGTTAGTTTTTGGCAAAGTAAATAATTGTAGGGGTCACACAAGGATCAACTTTATTTACAACTTTTTCATATTTAGTGATGATTTCAAAAAATACCAAGTTTAAGACAATTTTGTTTGTTAAATATTAAATAAAATGATGGTATTGTGTTTGTTTCATTGTTTCAACTAAAAATCGCAGTTCATTGCTCTTGCTCTTAGAGTTGCAGGGCATATACCAGTTCAAAAAGTCTTCAATAAAGTTGATCCTTGTGTGAGCCCTATGATTATTTACTTTGCCTAAATTGAATATACCGATTATTCAGATATTATATAAAAATCCTTTAATAGGTTAAATAGGAATACAATGATTGACTTTTGAATAAAAAGGCATTATACATGTACATCCCTATGTAGTTGTTGCAGTAAAATTACCACACCAAAGTGGACTATCTCTCAATATTAATATCAAATGGGCCTTCTATTTGCATTTTACTGAAATTATTTGTAACAAAAGTTTATCGTGATAAAGCAGGCAGTGATTTTGATACTTTTTTAGCTTGCAGACAGTGATCTAGTCGAGACAACATCTTGTAGTAATGGGTGTAACAGTGATGAGGCAGGAATTGATTTTATAAATGCAACTTTTGACAATTCCATTATTGATGGTTTATCTAACAGTTAGCCATTTTGTCCAACATTCTGCTCGGACGCCAAATTAAAAGATACTGATTTGCATCACATCAAGTTTGATTTGGTCACCGATGTTTGTCAGAGTGATACCTGTAGCAGCTGCACTCGACTGATATGCAGCAAGATATACGTGAGCTTTCATTGCAACATTTGCATTTAGAACAGTTACAATTTTACTTAGTCTGATAGATAATTAAATAATTGAAGTATATTTCTTTGAGTTTATTCAATTTGAACATTACTTTTACAATACAGATACCTTCGTTTTGAAACATTAGCAGCAAACGGTCAGTTTTCAACTTTGAATGTTTCATTTTTGTTCATAAAAAGTGTATTCTACAAAAGTCAAGGTCATTTCAAGGTAAAATGTCAATATTTAGGTAGTTGGCTTTTTAAGACACCTGACCCTCCACAACCAATGATTAGGTGACCTGAAGTCAAGGTCTGAATAGATCAAGGTAATTTTAAGGTCAATATCTAGCAAGTTGACATGAGAACAATTGTGACCTTTGGCGACCAATGATAAGGTGATTTCAAGGTAATTTCAAGGTCAAGGGTCAGTATCTAGGTCATAGGTAGTTGGCTACTGTGGGTCTTCAGTAACATTTGATCACCAAAGATAAAGTGACCTACGGTCAATGTAACTGTTTATGGCTCAAGGTCATCTCAAGGTCAGAGGTCAATATCTGAATATTTGGCATTTTGGGGATGCTGCCTCATGTGAGGACCCATTGATATGTGTTCTGAGGTCAAGGTCATTCATACAAGGTCAAAATCTCTGTATTTGGCGTTTTGAGGCCATGGGGGCTGCTATGACCCTTGGCAACTCATGCTAAGGTATATATTGTTCAAAATTATAATAAGGTCAAAGGTCAATATCTAGGTAGTTGGCTCATTTGAGGCTACACCGACATTTGATCACCAATGACACAGTGACCTGAGATCAGTGTCATTGTTATAGGTCAGGGTCAAAGATCAACATCTAAATATTTGGCGTTTTGGGGCGGCTGCTGCACTTGATTCCATTGAAACGTGACCTAGGGTCAAGGTCAATCTAAGGTCAAATTTCAACATCCTAGTGTTTGGCGTTTTAAGGCCACAGTGGCTGCTGTCGTGATGATAAGGTGACATGAGGCAGTCATCATTTAATGGTTCAATTCAAGATCGTCTCAAGAAGGTCAATATCTAGGTATTGGTGTTTCAAGGCACTCGTGGGAAGCTGTGACGCTTGGTGACACATTACAATGGTGACACATTTCAATTGACATTTCAAAAGTAATAGTCGATCATTTCTGTTTTATCATGTCAATTTTAATAAAATTTGCCAATTTAAAGTAAAATTATAACAGAAGAGAGGTTATCCAAATATGAGGTCATATTAATGACTGCACTCAGTAATGTTCAGTCAAGCTGACGAAGTTTTTCATTAAATAGTTACTTTCTGTTGTAGTTCTAAATTGAATAAGTATAAGCAGGTGCGTTTTCAAAAATGCAAATTTAAAGCAAATTTCACAAAATTTAGTTATTGATATGTAGAGATAGTCCATTAGGGTATGGTTACTCTCTTCAAAACAATTATGGTACAAATTTGGTACTTCTGACTATATAATGCTTTTTTATTCAAATTTCAATTATATTATTCTTATTTTGACTATCAAATGATTTTCGTATATCCGAATAACCATTATATTAGTTTTTGGCAAAGTAAATAATAGTAGGGTTCACACAAGGATCAACTGTATCGAAGATTGGTCATACTGGTATATGCCCAGTCGCTCTAAGATCAAGAGCAATGAATTGTGATTTTTCAGTTGAAACAGGGAAGCAAACACATTATCATTATTTTGTTTAACATTTAACAAATAATTTTTTGTTAAACGTAGTAATTTTTCAAAACATCACTAAATATGAAAAAGGTGTAAATAAAGTGGATCCTTGTGTGAGCCCCATTATTATTTACTTTGACAAAAATGAATATAATGGTAAGTGTAATATATAGAAAACATTGAATAGGTAAAATAGGAATATAATTAATAACAACCGTGACTTTTGCATTAAAATGGCATTTTAAGGTCAGAAATGTATAATTCTTCAATATTATTGTTTTTAATAAAAATGACCACGCCCAAATGGACTATCATACATATCAATATCAAATCTGCCTCCTATTTCATATACTCGCTGCTATTATTTGAAAAAAAAAGATTTTTGTCAAACTCATCTTTTTGCCGGTTGCACCTTGGGGCAAGCCGTTTAGCCCTTTCGTGTCACTTTTTTGAGTGCAGACAAGTAAAAATGAATAGTCAATGAACCAATCTATAATGACTATGGGTCGAATCATAGTAACCTACCTCAACATCAGTTAATGGGATTTTCTGGAGTTTTGGCGCACACTTATTTGTCGATTTGACCCAATCAGCGACGATATATCGGGTGTCCCAAAAACGAATCGCTTTTTGATAAGTATTTTCTCGTCAATTGATGGACCAAATTCAATGAGAATTTGTTCAAAGAAGACCAAGAGTATCATTAGCAAGTTACAAAAATATGAAAATAAAGATCAAGTAAATATATATTATGTGAGAACTAAGAAATTCAAGATAGCACGTCAAAAGATCCCAGAGATCAACGCAATACGAACTTCATAGCATTTGTACCAAAAAATGGGAAGCAATTTGACAAAGAATTTATCAGTGATAAATAACCATACCTCTTTGAAAACTTTACTTCAAACCATTTATGGTATCTTCAGCTAGTGTCATGAATATGTAAGAGCTTGGTTACATATTATGTGAGTCTTGATGAATCAAAGACAAGATGTCAAAATAACCGATATCAATGTAAAAGTCTCTTATTAATCCATTCCCAAGCAGAAATACGTTTCCGTATTTATTCTAACAATATCACCTCCAATGAATTTTCGAGAATGAATAGATTTGGGAGATTTGGGATCAATGGAATTAGACATGACAGACAAGCTACTTTAACTAATGCCATAACCCAAACGCTGGCACAGTCACTGTTTGAAGGTCTCATCGCAGAGCTCTATTTTGAATTTCTTAGTACTCGCATTCCATTAATTTGAATGATCTTTTTATATTTTTATAACTTGCTAATGATCGATACTACTATAGACTACTACTTTGTACAAATTTTCAGTGAATTTGTTTTATCAATTGCCGAGAAAATACTTGTCAATACTTGTACAAAAGAGCAATTTTACTGTTTGGTGTATCTATCTAAAATATTAATTAATTAGTTTGAATCATTACTATTTTCAGTGAATGCCTGTTGAACTTTCAATGATGTACATGTGTATCTAGTATTAAATGTTCGTATAGTCTGCTTCAAGGTTTATTTTGAATAACAAATTGACATGAGTTGGTTCACATAAGACGACTTGTCTGACTGCTCATATAAATCAACAAAATGTACCACAGAAAACAAGCACGACCTT